CATATCCAAAAATTTTCCCCCATGCAATCATTGTTTCTTTTACTTGTTCTTCCTCTAATTTAAACTCTAGCAAATGTCCATAAAATTTTTTGATTACTTTTTCATCAGTACCTGTCAAAATTTTATCTAAATCAGTCAACTTGTCATAGATACCTTTCTGTTTTAACATCTTTATCAAATCTAGATTGTATTTGCAAATATGAAAACCAATTCATTTTTACACCTTGTTCTTCCAACTCTTGCATAGATTTAAGTTCACCTTTTTCATTCAATATCTCTCCATACCTAACTGTTTGTTCCTTTTTATATATTATTGGATAGGAAAAAGCTTCAATAGTAGATAACCATAGTGGAATTTTTAAATAATATTGCTTTTTTATCTTCTCCCAGTTTAGAAACAATGCTTCTTGAATATAATGTCTTCTAAAATACCCCTGCGTTTTAGTTCCCTTATACCAGAGGAAGGCATGCCACTCTAACAGCAAGTCATGTCCTTCTAAATTCAAAAGTCTAGTATTCCTTAATGTTATCCACTCCTTTACCCACATCAGACTTGTCGCCGGTAGTATAATTCCCAATTGGGCAAAGCAAATCCTCCTCCTATTCTTGCATCTTGTAACAATTTAAGTTTTATTCTCACTTTCTTCCCCTGCCAAATGTATTTTAGCACTATTTTGTTTAAATCTTCAAAAAATTCTTTCCCTAATCTTATTGGAATTGTCTGGAATAAGTATAAGATTCTGGGCAATACATTAATCTTAATTGTAGATATTCTCCCAATCAGTGATAATTGTAAATTTTCCCATTTTATCAAATCTGTTGCAATCTGTTAAGTTTGAGATAATTGTCCTCCTTAAGTGTGCTACATCTTGGTGTTATATGTATCCCTAAATACTTTACCTTGTTTGTGACCTGGATCCCCAAAATTTCCTCCAATTCTTTCTTTTGTCTTACTAACATGTTCTTTGCTAAAATCTTTATTTATTTTCAAACCTGCTACTTTCCCATACTCTTCTATCTTTTCTATCAGTTTAGGTGCAGACTCCAATTGATCCTCTAATATAAATACCAGGTCATCTGCAAAAGCTTGTAATTTATACTCTTCTTTTTTAATTTCCATTCCTTTTATTTCTTTTTCTTCTCTGATGTTCCTATTCAGCACTTCCAGTGTTAACACAAACAACAGAGGCGACAGTGGACAGCCTTGTCTGGTCCCTTTTCTTATATCTATAAAGTCTGTTAACTCTCCATTTGTCATAACCTTTGCAGTTTGTTTATGATATATCGTTTTGATGGTTTGAGTAAATTTTTTACCAAAACCCATTTGGTCCAATTGTAACAGCATAAAACGCCAATTCACATTATCAAAGGCTTTTTGTGCATCTATAAACATCAGAGCCATTTGTTTTTCAGGATGTGCCTCATAGTATTCCAGTGTATCTAAAATTATTAAAAAGAAAAAGCAAGAGAATAAAAAACTTTTCCAAAGAGTTATTTTGAAGGGAAAAAATAAAAATTGAAAAGGAAAGGCCAGTCCAGTTTAAAAGTTAAAAAGTTTTAACAAAATCCAAAGTTCCAATAAAAAGAAAAAAAAATCCTTCAGGTTTAATTTGTGCTTAATCTTGCCGCTTGAGCACTTTTATCTTCACTTTTAAATTTAATTTTTAGTCTTTTAGGGTGTTCTCTCCAGAAAAAAATAAGTAGAAAATTATCTCACCAAACTGGCACACTTTCTTTCCAGCTTTCTTCCGTTCCGGAGCTGTTCCAGCTTCAGCAGCTTTAATGGCTGCCTCTCCACCGCGGGGGAAAAAAGGGCTTCTCCTGGATCTACTAGGGACTTTGCGATGTCCCTGGGATTGACAGGATGTGCCCTCCTCTGTCACCGTCTCTATGGGACGGTTTAGGTCCGTTGGGACCATCCTGCAATGGAGATATCAGCAGCGATCTTAGAGCTTAAAGATTGCATGTCGTACTGCTGCGACGCAAGCTCCCTCCAATCTTTTCTTAATAACCTCCAGTGATGAAGCACCCACAGCTTGAAGGCAAGCCATTCCACTAGTTAATTGTCCTCACTGTTAGAAAGTTTCTCCTTGGTTCCAGGTTGAATCCGTTGTTTCTTTGTTCCATTGTTTCTTTGTCTTGCCTTCTGGTGCTTTGGCCCTTCTTTGTGACAGTCCTGCAGATACTGGAATACTGTTATCCTGTCACCCCTTACTCCTTCTTTTCTCTAGACTAGCCCTACCCAATTCCTGCAACCATTCTTCGTGTATTTTTGTTTCCAGGGTTTTAATCATCTTAGTTGCTATTAGTTAAAGTAGTACTTATTAAATTGTTTTTAAAAATGAATACTTGGTTCGGAATGATGAACAATCTGAAACTTTATAAAGCAATTGATGAAGTTTGGGGAGCCCTGAGCTAGATGATCTTCAAAGTGCCTCCCAGCATCAAGATTCGGACTTTGTCCTTCAAAACTTCCATTTCCCCCAATTTGCTCTGGCTGGGTTTATACAACAAAATGGGTGCCTTGTACTACTGCAGGATGTAAAATAGCCCTTCACCTCTTCAAAGCGTCCACTCCCTTCTCAGAGGACCAAGTCTTCTTCTGGGAAGCCAGAATGATGGCAGTGGAGCTCTGATCTCAGGACCTTCCGTCATGGCCCCCTCCGCGGTTGGGAAAGCTCTTTTTGGAGGTTCCAGATCAGTAAGGTTCCAGATCAGGAGTGCTTACTGATGGGGAGTTACTCCTGAGAGGAGTTTCCTTCTCCTCTACCTTGGGAGGCCCCACAGGTTTGAATCTCAGCAGGAAGGGAGCAGTGAGTGCTGACAGAGTCATTAGCCTGAGGAGGGTCTTCCAGTCATGTTCTCAATGTGTAACTATGACTCTTGTTCATGGTTGGTCTGGGTGCCTCCTCATGGTGACTGCCAGAGAAGGTGCAGGTGGGCTATATGCCCCCTGTGCCCGAGCTAAGACCCAGGCCACCCCCCTGTCGGGCCAACCACCTAGCAGGGGGTTTACTTCTGGTTACAGAACGTTTAAGGAAAAGGGCCCTCCGGAGTTCAGGACCCCAGCAGTATAGATGGAAGCACTAGTGCCACATCTCCCCAAACCGATTCACCAAGTACCGTGTTCACATGCTCCTGTTGTGGCCGCCAGTTTCCCACCAAGCGGGGCCTGAGCACGTATCGACGACACTGCCAATCTGTCAAAGTCAACATCAAACATGTGGCCGCTCTTCCTACCAAGCGCCTGAAGTGGTACTGGGAGGAGGATGAAGCCTTGCATCAGCATTCTGACCATCTCTGGAAGACTCGGATGCTTAAGAAAGTACTTTATACATTTCTGCTCCCACACTTCCCTGGTCGTTCACAGGAAGCCATCAAGAAGCACCTCCAGACCATCAAGTGGGCCTCACCATCTGGCCCTATGCTTGTTTGCCATCTTCCGCCAGAGGATTCCAGACCAGGTTTCCAGACCAGACCTGTCAGCACTCTCACCTGCCTCTACATCAGCATCTGGCTCCAATCCAGCTGCTACCTGGATGACCACATTTTATCTTCCCATTTTTGGCATGCAATAAAAAGGAGAGGAATACAAACCAGGTTTTTCTTTTTTAAAGAATGTAATTTCTCTTCTTCCCAGATTCAATATCGGAGACTCCTCTTAATGGTGGTTATTCTGGGAATCGGAGGTTCACTGCAGATTGGCTTTCAAGGATCTATGATCACCTATGCATCTGTGGTAAGCAATTGTTCCCAAAATGGGTCCTAGCTGGCCCTAAGGTGAACAAAGACTACCAGACACAAGGAATGGCATTTCCAGCTTCTTTTACCGGAGTACTCCAGCAAAAGGATAGCAGCAGCTAAAGGAGCCAAGACCGCAAACAATCACAAGCCAAAATTTGATACAGTTATGATTAAGGAAGTTAACATCCTAAAGTCACACGTTGGTTCCTTGACACATGTTTCTTTTGATTGGATTCTTCTCCTTCTTCACACATTGCATGTTTATGTTAATAAGCGTTCTTATCAAAAGAACTGTGTCTTTTACCACTACAATAAGCCACAGGTTACCAAAGTTTAAATATCTACGTGCCTTAGCTAGCATCCTTCTAGTGTGTCCTTCTAACTTGCTAG